GAGTGCAGTGGCGCGATCTCAGCTCACTGCAACCTCCGCCTCCTGGGTTCAAGCGATTCTCCTGCCTCAGCCTCCTGAGTAACTGGGATTACAGGCACGCCACCAAGCCCAGCTAATTTTTGTATTTTTAGTAGAGACAGGGTTTCACTATGTTGGTCAGGCTGGCTCAAACTCCTGACCTCATGATCCGCCCACCTCAGCCTCCCAAAGTGCTGGAATTACAGACGTGAGCCACTGGGCCTGGCCTAATTTTTAAAACAAGTCACATTTTGATTCTATTTTCAGTTTTATTATTGATGATTAGCATTTTGTGTTAATTGAAACCTAGCAATATTCGTGGTCTTATAAAACAATTGGAAAATTGGAAGTAACTAAGTCAACTTCCCAGCATGCCTCATCCTCCTTGCCCCTCCATAAAGCCAACATTGTCTTGTCTTCCATCTTTATCATTGAGAGGTTCTAGCTCAGTTGGGAATTAAGTCATTTGCTTGCTTTTGTGACACCTATGCGATTTTTACAGTTAGAGGAGGGTCTGCTGACACCATTAAGCTCCATCAAAGTAGGATAAAAAAGGAATGGAAAGTCAAGTGGTGGCACTGTTTTTGTTTTGTTTTGCTTTGTTTTGTTTTGTTTAAATCTCAGTAAGTAGGTGTGTTGGGGAAGAAATGGGTAAGAAAGAGAAGTATATGTGATAGATTTAAGAGACTTTTGTGTCTGAAATAGTTGTTCCACAGATAGATAGGACATCAGAATTTATAATGCAAAGGCAAAGAGAAAAAGGAAAGTTATCTGTCTCTTATTCTGAAATTTAAAATTCTGGGGGTTTTTTTTGTTTTTTTTGTTTTTTTTTTTGAGATGGATTCTCACTCTGTTGCCCAGGCTGGAAGTGCAGCGGCACGATCTCAGCTCACTGCAACCTCCACCTCCCAGGTTCAAGTGATTCTCCTATCTCAGTCTCCCGAGTAGCTGGGATTACAGGCACCCGCCACCACACCCAGCTAATTTTTATATTTTTGGTAGAGAAGGGGTTTCATCATGTTTTCCAGGTTGGCCTTGAGATCCTGACCTCAAGTGATACGCCCACCTTGGCCTCCCAAAGTGCTGGATTACAGATGTGAGCTACCGCAACTAGGCTAAAAGTTTAAAATTCTTAAACTTTTTTATTCACAGAGCCCTCTGAGTAGCAGGCAAAGGCATTTGACCTTCTCAGAAAAATGCACCTAAACACAGCATCTTGCATAAAATTTTAGGGAGTTCATTAAAAATACCTCATCTAAAGTAAAAACACAGCAACTTCCCTTACTCTGTCTTCAGAAATGATACGAAGATTGGGATAAGCGACCCAAAAGGACATACACAAAACACATCAAAAGGATCATTGATGCTGAACTAATTACCAATTAAATGATATATTTGGAATTAATTCAAAAGAATACAGAGTGTGTACTGGGCAGTGGGAGGGGAGAGGAGAATATAGATGAAACAAGATTTGCCTTGAGTTGATAGTCCTTGAAGCTACATAGGACTTGGGGATTCACTGTGCTATTTGCTGTAATTATTTGAAGATCTAACACTTTATTTATTCCATTTTCAGATACTCTCTTAACTTACTGGAATAAAGTATCTCCTCAAGAGCTCATAAACATTCTTATACTTTTAGAGTAAGTTATCTTAATTTATCTTCATAAACTTTCCCCTTATTTGGGGAGAATTCAACTGTTACATTTTTTTCTGTTTTTAATGGCTTATTTGCTAATAATGTAGAAAATGTTAAATTATTCTGATAATATAGAGCCTGGCATAGTGGTTCTTTATCTGCAGACAGAAGAAAAATGTGAACGTGGAATACTTTCTATATTGCTGAAAACTCTAGCTAATAATAAACCATCTTTACAGCCCAGCAAAAGACTTTCTGTGATCTGAAAAACTAGAAGTAGTATCAGCTGTTCTGCATCATTCATTTGGAACAGATGCTGGAATAGTGGAGCAGTGTAAATGATTGGAATTTAGAATTTGTACTTTCATATAGAGCTGAGTAATTCTACCCACTGCAGAAATGTGTCTGTGTATTTGTGTGTGTATACACACACACACACACACACACACACACGTATATAAGTATGTATTCCAAGACACTTGGGGGAAAACCTAGTCTGGAGATGGGAAGTTGTCCTACATTTCATCCTGAGCTATTTTTATATGATTATTGGAAGCTAAAAGAAAAATTAGACATAGAATGAAATGCAAGAAATTTTTTAATAAATAGTACACATATATGATTTGTATGTGCATGTCTACAAAAACAAAGCATATCAATACAAACCCTTGGATTAAAGTCTTACAAACTTTAGCGGAAAATGTCAGGATAATAAACAACAGTTAAGATTTTTTTTTTAAACTACTGTAATTGTACTCAAATATTTACTAATGAAAATATCTGATGTTGGGGATTTGCTTTAGAAACACAGGGGCAGGGAGGGTGGAGAGATATATCAGGGGACCTATTCAGGGCAGAGGTCAAAAAAGAATAGCCGTGAGTTCAATCATTGTTGAATCTGGGGGTCATTGGGTATGTGGGAGTTAACTATGGTACTCTCCCTACTTTCATATGCGTTTGAAATTTTTAATAATATAAAGTATTTTAATGTTATTATTTAAAATGTAGAAATTGCCCCAAGTTTTAGTGCGGAAGAACCTTTTAGAGATATTATTGACTATGCTGGTGGGCCAGGCATGGTGGCTCACACCTATAATCCCAGCACTTTGGGAAGCTGAGGCAGGAGGATCACTTTAGCCCAGGAGCTTGAGAGCAGCCTGGGCAACATAATGAGACCTGATCTCTACAAAAAATAAAACATTAGCTGGGCATGGTGATGTGCACCTGTGGTTCCAGGTACTTGCGAGGCTGAGGTGAAGGAATCATTTGAGCCCGGAAGGTCGAGGCTGCAATGAGCCGCACATGATCATTCCACTGCCTTCCAGCGTGGGTGACAGAGCAAGATTCTGTGTCAAAAATAAAAATGACTGATGGAGACCTTTGCTATGATAAGTTATCGAGCATAAAGGGTGATTTGCATTGACAGGTTTTTTTTTAACCTGTCATTAAAATTGTATATGAAGACATGATGTAATTGTAGCAAATAAATGTAGAAAGATAGAATATGGCAAGCCCACAATTAATTATCTATGTATTTCTGTGTAGCAAAACACGTATCATTATATAATTTAAATAGGCCATTCTTTGTGACTCATGACTTTTAAAATATCACTTGTTAATCTGTAGAGGATGTTAATATATTACTAACATGCTATTGTTTTTCTTTCTAGAGTATGCTTGTTTCACTTTAGATATATGGGGAAAAGAAACATAGCAAGGTAATTCCCATAGCACTGCAATTTCTACTTTTTCCTTCTCTTCCAACAGAGGGCAATCTTACTCATGCCATGTAAAACCAAGGTTATATATTTTGAGTTAACATTGAGATACCCGTGATTTAGTTAACATGTCACAACTGAAAGTTTAAACGAATGGGAACTTTTACATTTTCAAGCTTCCCACGGGGTGATGATTAAAGTGACATACAGAGTTTCTACCTTGTGAGATGCTTATCTTTTCTAAAGAAATCCAGAAGGGGCTAGGTCCAGGGGAAGGCAGGAAATCATAAAGTGAGGACAACTGTAAGGTCTGTACTTTTGTCTGAAGACTATCAATACTCACCTCAGTTACTAAGGCAAATAGAAATCCCCAACAGCAATTGGGACATAAATGATATATTATCTATTTCCTCTTTTTGTCATGTAAGTCCTAGTGAAATAAATACTTAAGGAAATATTTGAGGGATTCTAAGGTGAAGACGGTTACTTGCTTATTTCAATGAGATATATTTTAGGGGTAGAGATAGTCATTAAAGGAGCTTAAAAATAGTTTTTAAAAAATGTTTAATTTTTAAGAAGCTGTGTGGATGGGGGGATTATTGCTCAGTCTCTGGAACATCCTAAGGATAGGTAGTTTGGGCGGTGAGGGTTCCAATTTCCACCATCTTTTCCCATAACTTGGAGTTGGTATGGCCATTGTTACCATGAACCTCAGTCTTTAGGATTCTGTCAACTCTCCCACTACGTTTACTAGAGGATAGATAAACTACTTCTTCCTTAGTCCATGTATGACCCAGTTGTAATTTTTTAAATGGAAACAACATTAAAGTAAAACAAAGAAAAGCTTGTTTATCTTAGCAATAGACATACCTACAGAGTAAAAATTTCTAATCCAAACTTACCTCAAGTCCAGAAACAGATTAGATTGGCATTCATTCTTGAACATCTGACTCTAGGATTTTCCCCTCTCATTTCAACCTTTAGTGAACCTCTGGCTATCTTCTTCCCACTCTTGACCTTCCTCATCTCCCGTGAAAAGATTGAATCTTATTGGAGTGTTGGCCACTTATCCCTGATGTTTTTGAGAAGAAGAAGGGAAGTGGAAGCTCTTTCTAAATTCCTTAATTATATTCATATATGCTATTTTAAAGATACATTAAAACTTCATCCAATTTCTAGTGACACTTCATTTAATCCTTGAGTATACTACGTTTATGTGAAAACCTAATTTTTTTTAGTTAAAAAGATTATAACATTGAGATATGTTATTAGAGAACTCCAGTTCCTGACTTTAAAATTTATTTTAGGGTGCATGATGCCTGGCTGTCAAAACACTTCGGAATAGACCGAAAATCGCAAACCATGCCTGCTCTTCGAAACAGATCAGGAGTAATGCAGGCCCGGCTTCAGCATCTTAGTAGCCTAGAAAGTTCATTTACACTCAATCACAGTAAGTGAAAATGTGTGTGTGGTACCCATTTGACCTTAAAGAAGTCCTGGTTTAAATAATAAAAACTGAAGGTGATGGATACTCTAAATACGTTGATCATTACACATTCTATGCATGTAACAAAATATCACCTGTATCCCTTAAATTTGTATGAAGAAAAGAAGTCCTGGTTTAAATTGCCAATATGATTGGAAATGATTTCCCATACATACATGTATTTGCATCTTTCTGCTATGTATGTATGTATATAATCAATTTCATCATATATGACTATAAAATGATAAAATACACATGGATTTTTGAACAATTTTAGGTCATGGTGTTTTCTTCATAGTGTTAAAGAAATTAAATTTTTCCCACGAATTGCTGTTCTCATAATATTTTTATATTGGGTGTTCTTCATTCCTACTGTTAAACTTTAATGCAAATATTGACATCTTAATATAATAGTATATATAATATTTGTTTAGTTACTTTTGGTCATTTAATGATTAGGGAATGAACATGCTGAGATGACTGCAGAAATCAGTGAACTCTAAATACTAGTTTGGCAAAGGTGTATTTCAGACAGGTTGAAGTATTGACAAGGCAAATAGGGCAAGGAGAGAAATCTTGCCCAACTGCAGAAGCTAGAGGGTTATATAAATGGAAGCTCTCCTATGAAAAGCAAATATTAATAACAACTCAAAGAGTGAGAATATTTTGTTTCCACACAGTCCTCTAAAGGTTTCAGAAAAGGAAGTTAGCAAAACTGGCTTTGTGGTAAGACCTAGTAATAAAAAATAATGTTTTGCTAGACGCTGAGCTAATAGACTCAGGACCTTTAAATCTGCATGTTTTAAAGCCTTCAGCTTCTTGTAAAAATATGATGAACCTATTTCCTTCAGTTGCCTCCAAGATACCTTGTTTTCCTTCTGATTTAGAAACAAATCTCATATAATCAGCATAATTGAAAATGTCTGACCATAAGGTACTACTGTTTATCTGTAGCTGAATTTCTATTTAGTGGTTTCTCATTTTTACCCACATAATTAGTAGCATGACTTAAAAGGCCTCCCACATTATTTCCTAGTTACATCACCAGAGTTCATCACTGAAACCTTGTCTCCAAAGAGGTGGGCACCTAATTATGTCCTGCAGAGCTGTTGATACAGAACTGTAATGAAAACTAATGAAATTGATTAACCCAGACTATATTTGATGAAGGAGTTAAATACAGTATGACACTGTGAGCCCCCTTTCTTTTTTTTTGAGACAGAGTCTCACTCTGTCGCCCAGGTTGGAGTGCAGTGACGTGATCTCGGCTCACTGCAACCTCCGCCTCCCAAGTTCAAGTGATCCTTCTTCCTCAGCCTCCTGAGTAGCTGGGATTGCAGGTGCGTGCCACCATGCCAGGCTAATTTTTTGTATTTTTAGTAGAGATGGGTTTCACCATGCTAGCCAGGCTGGTCTTGAACTGACCTCATGATCTGTCCGCCTCAGCCTTCCAAAGTGCTGGGATTACAGGCATGAGCCACCACACCCAGCCGAGCCCCCTTTCTTGTCTTAAGTCTTTGGGTAGAAAGTCATTCAGCACCATTATGTGCATCTTCATGTTGGGAAAAGTTTAATTTACTTTTTTAATCCTAGGTTCTACAACAACTGAAGCAGACATTTTCCACCAGGCACTTCTTGAAGGCAATACAGCTACTGAAGTTTCCCTAACAGTACTAGATACCATATCATTTTTCACTCAGTGCTTCAAGGTAAAAATGAAGAGTTATAATCCAGTTGGTACCATTGCAAAGTAACATTATACAGAAATTACCTAGTCAAATGTGGGGTAGTGCAGTGAAAAAGGCTGGCATGAATAGTCAGGAAATGTGGATGGCAGTTCTAGTTTGGTTTTCATGTGACCCTGAAAGTCACTGAGACTCACTTGTGTCATCCATAAAGGGAAGGGAATGGACTAACTTGCCCTTAAGCTCTCTTCTACCTCTTAAATTCTATTAGATTTTCATGTTTAAAAACAAAGTTTCCATACTTTAAGTAGCCAGCAATTTTTAGCCCAAAATATGATTGGATCTGTTTGCCCAAATACCCATTGTGATGAGGTGTCCTCTCAGGGTAGATGGGGTCCAGGCAGGCTGGCTGGCTTCCCTAGCCATGCACTTAGTGTTTTTTCTCAGATGTTTGCCTCTCAGTGCAAATCATCATTGCTATGATTTTAAAAAGAAGGTAAAAGCATTTATCTAACAGGATTATTGGAGGGGGGAATGCAATAATGGACGTGTGCTTTGAAAAGTAAAAATGATGTGACTATAATGTAAGAACTCAAAGGTGAAAAATCTTGCTTGCTTTCATTTCAGTTATACAGATGTGTTTTTTTGTTTGTTTGTTTTGTTGTTTTTTCCTTCTTCCCCTCTTCTCTGAGTAATTCAGTTAATTGTTTCAGCGACCTCGAGATTTTCTATGGAAACCTGGCCTGTGCTTTTCAAAGAGGCTTATAAAGGAAAATTGAATTAGATACTAATACAAAATAGGCTACAGAATACCTTTAATAAATAGGCTACAGATCCCTTTATGAAGTATTAGGTTTGTTCTATATTAAATGCAACACAACTCCATGTTTCATTGTGCCAATAAATAAGGAAGTCATTAGATCTCATGATGTACATTGTATTCCTTCCTCCTATTCTGATACCTCTTATTTATTTAACAAACATTTATATAATCTCTTGGTAAATATCAGGCACTGTCCTAAGGGCTTTACAAATATTAACTCACTTTTTCATTGTGAGGCTGGGAATGAGAAAGGGGAGTGATCTTTTTTGAAACAATGGAAATGTTCTAAAATTATATTGTGGTGGTCACCCAACTCTGTTGCCGAATTTACTAAATGTAATTTAATTGTATACCCAAAACTGGTGAATTTTATGGTTTGTAAATTATATCTCAATAACTTAAAAATACAAATATGAACTTACTTTTAATCCTCATAATAGCCTTATGATGTAGATACTGTTATTCCCTTTTGAAAATGGGGACACTGGGGCCCACAGGAGGTTAATGCCACACAGCTGGGCAGTGGCAGAATCAGGATTGAGATCTAGGCCAGTTATGAGAGACCATGATTCTAGCCACTATACCATGCTTTGAAATATACTAAGGAAAGTGCCGGAAAAATCAAAATGCCATTCAGGGATTCTGGCTGTCAGTATTATCATTAGATTGTTGTTGTTTTGGGTTTTGTTGTTTTTGGCTAGGTTGTAACCTGCTGGTTACTTTCTTGAGGGGTAGCAGGATAGAGCTGGAGAAATTAGCCATTGCTGATTAAAACAAAGTTGAGAAACTAATAGGTATTTATCTACAATTTGTTGTTTCTTTGCAAGGGGCATTTAAACAATTTACATAGTCTGTTCAATTGTGATACCTGTTAATTATCTCTACTCATAGAGGGTTTAATTTTTCACGAATGGCTAACCATATAGTAAACATACTTTTAAAGTAAATTAGATCATAATCTAATAAAATAGAATTGGTATTTTCCTTCATTTATACATTATAATAGTCTCTCAGAAATACAAAGGCTGATTGGCTTGTATTCATTTTGATTTCTTAATTGAGAAGCAATATGGTATAGGTTAATAGAAAATACTGTTCCCATACTAGTCCTGTATATTGTTGTGTTGCATTGAAAAAAAAATTCCACCTGTTTAAAATGTTGGGATTAAGTATTCTAGATATCATGTATGTAGTATTTGTTTGAGATTTCCAAGTTGAAAGATGGCACAAATATTTTGAAATTATATGTAAGAGCCTTTTATTTTCCTGAAACTTCCAAACAGTGGTTTCATAAACAGGTACTGGTGAAATCAGTTCTGTCATTCTCAGTGGGGCATAAACCATATTTTTTAATGTTTTATAGACCCAGCTTTTAAATAATGATGGCCATAACCCATTAATGAAAAAAGTGTTTGATATACATCTTGCTTTTCTTAAAAATGGACAATCTGAAGTGTCGCTGAAACATGTATTTGCCTCACTAAGAGCTTTCATCAGTAAGGTAAGGACAGAAGCTTGGGAGCAGCCGGTGGGCTGTCTTCATTGCAAAAAGGAAAGATGGGACAATGGGGGTCATTGTGGTGACATATACAATGCCAGCTCATGAAGCCATTAAGTACTGCCTTTGTAAATAGAAATACAGAGCAACAAAGCACACACAGAGGGCCTGACCATGAACCCCCTCAAATCAGAAGCTACTTTTTATTTCACCCCATAATACCTTCCCTTTTCCATTAAGCTCCTTTGAAGAGTATCATTTTAAAATTACCAAGCCTGCCAGTTCTCTATTTTGCTTCTTTTTAAAAGTATTGTCATGTTGGAGGTATATAAGCCATGAGTGCACTCATGTCTAAAGACTTTGAAAGGATCCAACTTTTGTAATCCCAGGGTCTTGTATAATATCTTGGAAATGGTAAGCACTCAGTACATGTTCAAATGGATGCATCCTGACTTTCAATGCTAGTTGTAACTAAGGGCCCTAAATGCAGTCCACTTGCCCCAGCTGAACAATAACCTCAGACTTGGCTTTTAAGAAGAAATATGACTGAAACAGACAGCAAAGATTTGTTTTCTGTGCTCAGGGGCTTTTTAAACTTAAGAATAAACATAATAAACCAAGATAGAGCTAAGGTTATGGAAAGGCACAGTCCAGATCTTCCACTGGTTTATGTAACTACAGTAAGACAAAGAAATTCAGTTACGTTATTTGTGTAATAGGCTAGCTAAGCTTTGAAAACTTTTTGCCATCCTCATTATTTATATAGCAGCTAGTTGCATTTAATAGATACAGAAATTAGATGAATTTGAAGCTTTTTATTGCCATTCTTTAATATAATTTATGAATTAAAAATCTATGGGAAGCCGAGTTCAACACAAGCATGTTACAAGAAACCAAGGGAAGGAGATTCAGAAATAATTCATTTAACAAAAACTGTGTAGGTACTTACTGGATATAGTCCCTAAGGGCTTATTGTCCAGTAGAGGGAGGCACACACACATCAAGATACATGTACACAGAAACAAATACCATCAGGATAAAATAAGTCTGTATAGACCTGTGGGGGTGGGCAGGAGAAAAACTCTAATTTAGCAAAAGTTTTTCTGCAGCAATGGAGCTAGGATTTAATATGGATTCACCAAGAGATGAAACTAAAGATGTAAATGGAGTACAGATCGTGTGGACTCATCTTAAGAGTTGGATTTCATCTTTCAGGCATCAGGTAGTCATGGAAGGGTTTTAAGCAGGGAAGTAACACAATTATATTTGTATTAAGAGAGAATTGGTAAGGACAGGGGGAAGTCTCTTTAAAAGTTGTGTTGAAGAAGGATTGGTGACAGTGTCAAAGGCAGTAAAAAGACTAGCTGCAGTAAGCTAGATAAGAAATGAGGGCCTGAAGTAAGGTAGTGACAGTGGATATATGAAGGGTCAAAGGCAGATGAGACATGTTGAAAAAGGATTTACAGGATTTGATCATCAGTCCACTGATAGTATGGTGGAGTGTGGTAGTTGATATGAAATACAGGGGAAAGACTACATTTGCAGTAAAAGTTAATGAGTCCTGTTTTGTAGACCTGTTGAATTTGAGTGCCTATGGGACATTAAGATGTGTGGATCTTTGCTCTGGAGAGGGATCAGATTGGAGAGCCAGACTTGGAGTCATTCTCCATTCATCCGTACTATATTTATTGAGGACCTTCTCTGTGTCAAGTGCTGTACTAGGTCCTGGAGATGCAATGGAGATACAAAATAAATAATAGTCTTCGCCCTCATGAAGCATTCAGTCTTAGTGGGGATAGGGGAGATAGAAAAAAAATAATAAAAGAATTAGTAATTATGAGCCGGATGCGGTGGCTCACACCTATAATCCCAGCACTTTGGGAGGCCGAGGCGGGCAGATCACCTGAGGTCAGGAGTTCGACACCAGCCTGACCAACATGGCAAAACTCTGTCTCTACTAAAAATACAAAAATTAGCTGGGCGTGGTGGCGGGTGCCTGTAATCCCAGCTACTCAGGAGGCAGAGGTTGCAGTGAGCCAAGATGGCGCCATCGCACTCCAGCCTGGGCGACAGGACAAGATTTCGTCTCAAAAAAAAAAAAAAGTAATTATTATATGTTCTAGGAGAGGAACAAACAGCGTGCTGAGACAGTAAATGATTTGTGGGAGATAATCTTATCTTAGATAGGTTTGTCACTTTTAAAATGAGACCTGAATCTGTAATC